GAACTGCACGAAAGCGGGCCCAGCCCTGATGGCGAGAGGCCTCGGGGGGACCCAGCGGCATCCTAAGCCATCGAGCCCTCCAGTGGAGATCCTCGAATGGGACACAAACAGACATACTAATACTATTATGTCCTGCTTGGAGGAACGCCTCAGACCCGAACATATAGTCTACCCATTTTGTGATAGATATCGTTTCCCGAGCGGTGTGGCCAGAAAGCGCTCGACACGACGCATATAGAGGCCTGCTAGATGGGGTCGGAGTAGATGGGGTCGGAGGATCGCGCCGCATCGCCGATACATCGGCGATGCATGGGCAGTGCATCGGGGATGCACCGGCGTTGCATCGTCCACGTCGGCGATGCATCGGCGACGTCGACGTGAAGCAAATCGGGCCACACATCGAGCCGCATCGGCGAGTAGGTTGGGGGGACGCCGATCGACCCTCGCTCCTCGAACTTCGAGGTCTGGGGAGCCCGACAGCCCATGCCCCCCGGTCGGGCGGGGGGGGAGGCCGCGGCGGTGGCGCAGACCTCTGGGGCAAACACGGCTGCGAGGTCGCCGCGGCGCGCGGACTGGAGTGCGATTCGACCCGAAGTGTTCAAGGAAGTCCGGCTGCGGCGACGACTGCTCCGTGGGCGGGGCGATTGTCCAAGCCCACGGCCACGCGGTCTGGGCTCCTAGGCCGCCACCGCGTGGATACAGGTCGGGTTTGCGCGGGGGCCCCGCGCGGAGCGTATCCATGGGATCACGCCTCGGTATCCAGACCGCCAGGGCATGGACATGGGCATGTCCGTCGCTCAAGAAAGCTCCCCTGGAGGTCGCATGAGACGGCCCAGAACATGCAATCACATCGATCGGTCGTAGTCGCCGACGTGCTAAACAATGCTTGGCAAGTCGCGGAGGCAGCCCGTGCGACACGCTACGGGTCACAACGATAAGCTTAGCGGCTTTCACGCATAACTAAAGTTGCAGCTGCTTGTAGGCTCGGCGTTCACGCCAATGACGCTGGTGGTATTATGTGGTATCAGTGGTGCTGGTGTCGGTGATGCTGCTGCGGATGGTGGGTGCATGTTCATGTTGGTGATGTGACGCAATGGTGATATAGTGGTTGTCGAAAGCGTCGCCCATCTCTAGTGCGTGTTGAAGAGGGCCAATCCCCTGGGCCCTAATTTCGAAGTTCGGGGCGTTCGACGCGGGGGAGTGCGAGTCGATTCGAAACACACGCCCACGTTTGCAACTTGCGGTCTGCGCGAACAGTGAGATTGGGGGCGCGGGGGGCGCTCTTGCCTCCTGAACGTTGTACCTAGGCCTTTTTCCCGAAAGCACGCAATCAACGACACTGCCAAAGAAGAAAGCGATGCGAGAACGTGTGGAGATGCAGCTGAAGAATTCCCCCGCGCAAATTCTGGGCCAGGCAGACTGCGAGCAAGCGACCGAGGACCTCCTGCGCGAACCGCCAGGTACAGAGGTCGCCCGCAGTTGCGGGCGACGAGCTCGCGTCCCGCCAAGGCTACGAATACCTCACCATAAGGGGCAGGGAGGACGCCTCACTCCTTGTGGCCGTGAGGGCGAACGTAGCGCGGAAGCTGACGTGCATCCACTGGGAGCGGCGGCACGACGGCGACTTCAGACGCAGATCTGGCCAGGGAATGGCCAAGGCGCTCTCCCGTTGCATGATCTGCCGCGTGGAGTTGGACAAAAAGGTGGGCCATCTTGGCGACGAAATCGTCGTCATGGTCGTGCACATGCACAACGTGCTAGCGAACGGGAAGTGGAAGAAGAAGAAGCTGCACGAGTTTTGGGCGTGGTGCACGGACCTCGTCCAGCGTCACGACGTGGATGTGTTCACGGGAGACAGTTCCAGGGTTTAGGGTTTAGGGTTTAGGGTTTAGGGTTTAGGGTTTAGGGTTTAGGGTTTAGGGTTTAGGGTTTAGGGTTTAGGGTTTACGGACCTCGTCCAGCGTCACGACGTGGATGAGCTTCTTCCAGGTCGTTCCGAAGCTCCACAGCTGCGGAGTTTCGATCGACCTGACGGCCTGGTACCAGGGGAAGTCGGCAGTCGGCGACCCTTGCACCGATGATTGTTGAGTTTGGTTCCTCGAGAAGCCAGGCAAGCACAAACTGGTCTATGGCATCGAAGATCTGCACAGCGAGGACCAAGCGGGCATTCTTACCTGTTGCCCCAACAGGTTCCAAGTGGTGCTCCCCGAGGAACGGAAAGCCGACGGCTTCCACAGGCACGACCGCAAGGGCGGCCCAGGGCAGCCGCTCACGCTGTACCTGCCGAAAGAGCGGGGCCTGGAGGATAAACGGAGGCCTTCGTTGCAGCCTTCCGCTCTGTCTGCGGCCGCAGTTGCGGTTGAAGCAGACCAGGCGAACGACAAGGGCAAGGGCAGGGGCGAGAGACTGTTCAGAGTCAAGGAGAAGCACCTGGACGTTAACCTGTGGAAGATCCGCGGGGAGAACTACAAAGGAAGCCACTTTCCAGTGGTTGCCTTCACCGACGATCGCGGCAGGCGATCCCCCGACGCTCTGGGAGGGCGGAGCGAGAAGAAGCGCGACGGGCGTGCAGCAGAACGAGTTGACGCCGCGCGAGCACAAGCAGCAACGCAGGCCGCAGTTGCGGCCGACCCTGCAGCGGTGACCGCAGTTGCGGCTGACCCTGCAGCAGTGGCCGCAATTGCGGCTGCTCCTGCTGCGAGAGGTGTGCGGGACCGGGAGGTCCCGGCGAGCTCCGCGGGGGCTCCGCGCGCCGCCGGGCAGAGGTGGCGGCAGCCAGGGGAGCGGCAGCAGCGGTGGCAGAACGAAGACGACTGGTGGGCTGGCGACTCCTGGCGCGGTTGGCGCGGTTGGGAGTGGAGTGCGCGGCGGTGATGTGGGGGCCCGTCAGGCGCCGCAGTTGCGGACGCATGGGAGGGGGAGGAGGAGGCGGAGTAAGAGGAGGAGAAGGAGAGGGACGAGGAGCAGAAAGAGGAGGAGGAGGAGGAGGAGGAGGAGGAGGAGGAGGAGGGACCAGGACGAGGAAGAGGAGGACGCACGTTGAGGAGGAGGATGGGGAGGGGGACGTGGAGGAGGAGGAGGGGGGCCGGGAGGCGGACGAGGAGGGGGAGAAGGAAGAGGAAGAGGAGGAGGAGGCGGAGTAAGATGAGGAGAAGGAGGAGGACGAGGAGGACGAGGAAGAGGAGGACGAGAGGGAGGACCAGGAGGACCAGGAGAAGGAGGACGCACGTTGAGGAAGCGGACGGGGAGGAGGACGAGGAGGAGGAGCAGGAGGAGGACGAGGAGGAGGAGGAGGAGGACGCACGCGAACGCCGCAGTTGCGGCTCGGCACGACAGCGAGAGCTCTTTTGCAGCAGACAAAACAACGCCATCATCGTCACCATCACCACCTTAGACGTGACCGTCGTCACGCCATCATCGCCACCACCATCACCTTAAACGTCATCGTCGTCACCGAAACACTCCTTATGTGGTGTTCCAGGGGGTCCGGAGCGGACCCCCTGAAACGGCCCAGGGGGTCTGGTGCGGACCCTCCTTGATGAACCGATTGGTCGCCCTACGGCGGTTTTCGGATGATCACGGATTGAAAGCGGCCCGTTTGCAAAATGTGGCTCTCGCCTTAGCGCCGCGCACATTCGTTCTAGCAGGTGCAAGAGTTTCACAGATTGAGGGAGGCCCGTTTTCAACATGTGGCTCTCGCCTAAGCGCCGCGCGCGTTCGTTTCAAACATTCACAAGCGCTTCACGGGTTGAAGGCGGCTCCTTTTCAAAATGAGGCTCTCGCCTCAGAGTCGCCCACATTCGTGTTTCACGGATTCCCATGGTAAGCGTTCCGGAAATCATGTTTTTGAAGGGTTCACGATTATGAGGGCGCAATAGTTAAGTTGATTCGCGGTGTTGAAGTCGCAAGAATGGCGTTCTGGCAATATTCAGGATCATCAAGGCGCAACAGTCAGGTTGATCCGTGGCGTTGGAATCCCGAAAACAATGTTAGGCATGCTTCAGGGTCTTCAGACGGTTGTCGTCAAACGAGGCAATTCCCTCAGTGGAAATAAACCGTTGCAGGGGCCTATGAAGAGGAAGCTTGGAGGGAGGGTGTATTCAAACATCGTTGATGACGCTTGGGTTTACACTGGTCCTCCTCCTCCTCCTCCTCCTCCTCCTCCTCCTCCTCTTCCTCAGCGCATCGACTCCTCCTCCTCCTCCTTCTCCTCCTCCTCCTCGTGTTTCTCCCTCTGTTCCTCCCTCCTCCTCCTCCTCCTCCTCCTCATCCTCCTCCTAGTTTTTCTCCTTCTGTTCCTCCCTCCTCCTCCTCCTGTTTCTCCTCCTCCTCCTCCTCCTCCTCCTCCTCCTCCTCCTCATCCTCCTCCTCCTCCTTCGATCCTCCGATCCCGAGGGATGGTCAGGGGCGCCGTCCTCACCCCGCGCCGAGGAGCACGGAAGGGCGGCACGGGCCACGACGGCCCCAAGGGGGGGCAGGGGGGATGGATCACCGTGGTGGTGTGGCCTCGAAGGCAAGTCGGCACTCCGCCCGAGGCAGCTCCGACCTCCAGCTCGTGTTGGCACCGTAGGCCTCCTCGCCGGAGGCGGCCCTGCTGGTGGTGCGATCGGGAGGGGCAGGCGCGGCACGCATCGGAGTGAAGCGCCCCGGGCGAGAGCTCGGTTTCGGCGGCACAGGTTCGGCGCACGGCTTCGTGGCACGTCTTCTCGGCATCAGCATAGTGACGGAGAGGCGCAGCAAGGGGTGACGCTTAACTTCTTGCGAAGCGTCGTCACAGGAAATGTCCACAAGATGGCAAGCTTCGCCATGGAAAATTCCATGGGAAAAACCACGAGACTCGACTACCGCAGTGTGCAAGGTTCTATCCAGCGCGCTCTCTGGCGGCGAGAGGAGGGGAAGCGACGGGCAGGGGGAGAGGGGAATGGAAAAGGAGAGGCTGCTTGGGAGGACAGGGACGACGGGGGGGGGCGGGGGGGAGGGAGAAACTTCCGACCAACGCCTCACTCCCGTCGGCGCACTTTCCGCTTGCGGTCGCTGCCCTGGACGTTCTGCGTCATGTCCCTGAAGTTTACGACGATGAGCATAGATCCGCTGCGCACCGTCTCGAAGTCAAAACCATCGTTCGAGATATAGTCTGTGTACGCACGCTCGAGCTGCTGCTGGTGGTCGGGCTCGAAAGCCTTCCAGCGGTCGTTCGCCTTGGCCAGACAACAGCAAAAGACAATCCGCCACTGCTATCGGGACGCACACCACCGATCAGCAAGGAAGATGCCCAACAAAGCACCCCCACCGCAGCCTGGGGTGGAGGGGCTGGGGCCGCATGGTCGAGACGTGGCCGCTGCCGGCGCCGCTCGGCGCCAGAAGCGGCCGAGCATCGGGGAACGAGCCCGGCGGCGGGGCCGAAGCCCAGCCGCATGCCGCAGGCTTCGCTCCGCCCGCCCCCGGCCCAATCTTGGCAGCGCGCACCGGGGCGGAGGGGGAGAGGGGGCAGGCTTCTTGGAGGGTGGCTGCGTCTGAGAAGTCGCCGTCCTTGCAGCTGCAGGCAAGGCCCACCGCGCCTTCTGAGGAGCAGGGGTGTCTCTAAGAAGGGTCCCCCCGTTCCCCCTAATTGCCCCCCTCTGCGCGTGGCTGACAGTCCCCTTTCCAGCCTGCTCTTTCCTCCCAGGCCGACCTTTCTGGCAGCCCATTTGGGGCGACAGGCTTTGGGCGCCCGAATTATCCGGGGTAACTCGGGCCCTGGGCAACTCGGGTTCGGAATCCCGAAAAACGAACCCGAGTTAGCCCTGACACGAGTTACCCCTGATGATTCGGGGCTCTGAAGACTGTTTCCGGGCGCCGAGTGCCATCAAAGACCTGACGTCGCTAAAAAAATTGAGCACCGCGGAAGCCAACCGAGAGGCAGATCCCCGGGCCCCATCCCGTCCTCATGCGGCACTTCTCCAGCCAGAGCGATCTACGCGGAGGCCACCGGGTCCGAAACCGGGAGGAAGCGCCCGGTGGGAAAAGATGGCAGCGCCAGGATCTCAGAGAGGGCGACGAGGAAGAATCTATAGGCCTCGAGATCCCCTCGGCGCGGCCCCACGGAAGGGGACGATGGGGGGACGGACCTGCTCGGGTGTGGAAACATCGACCCGCGATCGGGGATGCGCCGCCGATAGATTGGCGATGCGCCCCCGACAGCGAGGCCGCACGCTCCCGGGAGGGGTCGTCTAGCGGGCCCCGATCGGCGGTGTCTGGGCGACGGGGGGTCAGTGTGCGTCCCCCGGGAGCCCCTCCCGGCCTCCAGTACAGTCGGGGGCTTGACCTGAGGAGCCCAAAATGAGGAACGAGGCCCCTCTTCTCCAGGAGGTAAACTTCGAGTTCCGATCGAAAACAGAAGGAACACCCGAGGCAAGCTGCGAAACACTTGAGGAACGCGGAGCCCCTCGACAACGAAAAGGGCTCCTTCTTCAGGGCCCCGGCTGTGCTTCTCGGGCCACACCTCGAGCTTCTGGCGGCCGAGCTCGGGACGATCTTGGGCATCCCCAGAGCGCTCCGGCACGGCGCCGCTGCTGGAGAACCTTCCGCCGGGGGCTCGGAGAGCCGCCGAGAACCTGCGGCCGAAGGCATGGTCGGGAAGGATATAACCCAGGACATCTGGGCCACCTCACCGCCTCCTCCTCCTGCTCCTCCTCCTTCTCCTCCTCCTCCTCCTCCTCCTCCTCCTCATCCTCCGCTTCCTCCCCCCACTCCTAGCCCTTTCGATCAGGGTCGGCGGCACCGGCCGTCAGGCCTCTCCAATAACCCAGGACATCTGGGCCAACTCACCGGGAACCTCTTCACACATGCCGGGGCCTTCTTGGGGGGCCAGCGCTGGAAGGGCGAGCGTGCTCAAGAGGCGGGGCCAGCAAGCAGGCAAGTTGGTGCAGAGACGCTGGCCCAGCTGTTCTTCGGGAGGAAGTTTCTGAAGCAGATGCTCGACTGTACGAGAACGTCCCAAAACGCCCGAAAGCCTCCAAGGTCAGGAACTTTGGCTTAGCGCGTCGCCACGCGCTGTACCTGGCAAGCGGACGCGCTATACCAGGCAAGCGGACATCTCCGCTCCGCGGGGCGGGAGGCTCGGGAAAACTCGGGGCTTGACGCCGCGGGGGGGCAGGAAATTGATAGCGTGCCGCGTCGGGGCGTGGCAGCCCAGAGCCGGCCCCCCCTGACTCTACATATCGGAGGTGTACTGACCCGGATCAACCCTCACCTGGGCCAGTCGGGCCCAGCAGGACCAAGCAAGATCCTGGGGGACTCTGCAGGATCCTGCACGCTGGCCCAGGTCAATGCACCGGCCCAGCAGGATCCTGCAGGATCTGGCGCTCTGTAGCTGACCCCCGTTTGAGTTGACCCCCGTCCCCAGACCCTCGACGGCATGATGTGTTCATGACGCCGACCTCCGGCGGTTTCGACCGATTCCCCAAGACCGGCTTCTCTTCCTGAATCATTTTTTAACGGTCCCGGGGCCCGGCAAGGGCCCCCAGAGGCCGAAAATTGAAACACCTCCCGTCGTGATTTTTCCATCCCTCGAGGGGGTCTGGGACCCCCCCCCGAGGCTCCCGACTGCTTTGGGCCCCTCACGAGGCGTTTCGGTCCGGCCCGTGCGACCAGGCCGAACTCCCACACCGGGGTGCCGCGTCCGGAGGGGCGCGGAGAAGGCGTGCGCGGCGCCGCAGAGGCCGCCGCGCCGGGGCTCACCGGCGCCTTCAAGAGAGGAGGCGGAGGAGGAGGGGGAGGAGGAGGAGGAGGAGGGAGGAGGAGGAGGAGGCGGAGGAGGAGGAGGAGGAAGAGGAGGAGGAGGAGGAGGAGGAGGAGGAGGAGGAGGAGAAGGAGGCGGAGGAGGAGGAGGAGGAGGAGGAGGAGGAGGAGATGATGATGATGATGATGATGATGATGATGATGATGATGATGATGATGATGATGATGATGATGATGATGATGATGATGAGGATGAGGAGGAGGAGGACAGGGAGGAGGAGGCGGAGGAGAAGGAGGAGGAAGAGGAGGAGGAGGAGGAGGAGGAGGAGGAAGACGAGGTGCAGGAGGAGGAGAGGAGAAGGAGGAGAGGAGACAGGAGAGGAGGGATGATGATGATGATGATGATGATGATGATGATGATGATGATGATGATGATGATGAGATGATGGTGATGATGATTATGATGGTGATGAGGAGGAGGAGGAATAGGAGGAGGAGGAGGCGGAGGAGAAGGAGGAAGAGGAGGAGGGGGAAGAGGAGGAGGAGGAGGAGGAGGAGGAGGAGGAGGAGGAGGAGGAGGAGGATGGGATGGAGGGGGGAGGAAGAGGAAACATCTTCAACATCAGCTGCGACTGCCGCTGGCAGGGCGGCCCCGTGATCTTGCTCTCCCTGGGGGGGTCGATGACTTCCTTTGGGTGGCTTGTGGACGTTCGGTATCACTGGCGGCGTGCAGCGGCGGCGTGGCGGCTTACACCCCTGGTATTGCCTAGAAGCGTGGCCTGGCGCGCGAAGCTCAGGAGCGCGGCTTCCGCCCCCAAGCTCGCCTGCACGGGCCTCTCGCGCACACATGAAGACTCGAATTGGTGCAGCAAATATTCAGAGTAATGTGCGCCGTTGGTTTTCCTGGACCTCTGTAGCCCAGTGGTTCGAGCGAAGGTCCAATGAGCCGAAGGTGGGGGGGCTCGATTCCTGGAGTCTGCCCACATGCACGCGGGATCGCGCCGTTGGAATTCATCGCTGGGGAAGCCCAGCGACTCCCCTGTGGTGCATCCCGAGGGCGCGAAAATCTGGCCCGCGGAAATTCTGCCAGGTCTCCCGAGGCTCGAATGGCGCGCTCGCTCGGCCCCTGCTATGACGCCCAGAGGCGCGCAAATCCAACCCGCGGAACTTCTGGGCAGCCCCCAAGAGGGTCGAGCGGCGCGCTCGCCCGGTGCACGTAGGAGGAGGAGGAGGAGGAGGAGGAGGAGGAGGAGGAGGAGGAGGAGGAGGAGGAGGAGGAGGAGGAGGTGCTTCCCCTGGGAACGAAAATCCAGCCCGCGGCATGTTTGGGCAGTTCTTTCCCCAGGGCCCCACGGCGTGCTTGCCCGGGCGCTCCCCCCCTGCGATGCTCTCTCTGGAGGCGCGCATATGTCCAGCCCGCGGCGTTGCCCTGGGCAGTTGTCTCCGCGCGGTCGAATCGAATGGCGCGCTCGCCCAGCGCTCCCCGTGCGATAATAATTCCGAGGGCGCGAAGAGACCCAGCCCGCGGGGATTTCTGGGCAGCTTCCACCGGGCCGAACGGCGCGCTCGCTCGGCGCGTCCCCTGCGATACCCTCCGAGGGCGCGGAAGTCGAGCCCAGGGGGAATCTCTGCGCAGTTTCCACCGGGCCGAACGGCGTTCGCTCGGCGCGTCCCCTGCGATGCCCTCCGAGGGCGCGGAAGTCGAGCCCAGGGGGATTGCTGCGCAGTTTCCACCGGGTCGCATGGCGCGCTCGCTCGGCGCTTCCCCTGCGATGAGTTCTTAGGGCACGAAGATTCAGCCCGCGGAGTGTTCGGGCAGTTTCAGCAAGGATGGATGGCGCAATCGCTCGGCCCTTCCCGTGCGGCGAATCCTGAAGGCACGAAAATCAAGCCCGCGGAAGTACTGGGCAACTTCCAGATGGTCGAACGGCGCGTTCTCCTGGCACTTACCCTGCGGCAAATGCCGAGGGCACGAAAATCCAGCCCGCGGGATGTCTGGGCAGTTTCACCAGGGTCGAATCGAGCGTTCGCTCGGCGCTTCCCACTCGATACCTTTCGAGGTCGAGAGAATTGAGCCTGCGGAGCTTCTGGTCAGTTTCCACAAGGTCGAATGGCGCGCTCGCCTGGCGATTCCCGTCCGATCAAAGTGTTAGCAGTGAGGCCTACTATGGGTCTTAGAAAGCGATGCTAAGAGTTCCCGCGGGGGTCTTAGAAAGAGTCCTATAGGGGGAGGTCCAACTTAGAATCTTGGTAGAGACCCCTGTTAAGGAGCCCGAGTACGGAGCCTTGCCAATGGCACGATCTCGAGTAGGGAATCCCACTGCAGAGGCCAAGTCGTGAGCGAGTGGACTAAGAGCCTTCGCGTAGAGAGTCGCGCTAACATTCCTAGTCAGGGACTCCTTCCAGGAGTGCTAGTAGGTAGTCATATCAACAGCTTTGTGGGAAACTCGCCCAGAGTCCTAGCAGGGAGAACGGACTTTAGGGAACGGGTCCTAGCAAGTGCCTCGGTAAGAACCCCCATGTGAGCCCCATGTGCGAATCCAGAGTTTCTCTCTCTCTCTCTCTCTCTCTCTCTCTCTCTAAAAAAAAGCAGCAGAACATCTTCGGGAAACAAAGAAGCGACAGGAATACAGGACCCTTCTCCCGCCCAACTGCCACCAGCAAACCTGAACTGTGTTGCTTCAAAGCATAACATGCTCACGTAAACCTGTCTCACCCAGGACCAATGAGTTCGTCTGGCTCACTCCGAATACTGCTGCTGCACTTCGGGTCTTCGGGTGGAGCCCTCTCAGAATCTGGCTCCACAGGGACATTTGCTGGGGGATGTTCTTATTCAGGCATGGGCTCGACCGATAGGGCTTCTTGAGCGATTCCACCCCAAAATTAGAGACACACTGCGTGCAGATACGGAGTATCTCTCCATCACTGCACGGCAGGCCAACAACGAAGCGCCCAAGACGCTCCATCTCCCCCAAGTCCCAGCCCCCGACGTTTCCAGGACAACCAGGAGGGGGGGGGCGGAGCTGACACCGAGAGGCCTCACGACAGGAGCTACATCGCCACCTGCCGGCAATGCATCGCCATTCACGCAGCCTCGCCTTGCAGCGGCCCTGACCACGACTCGTGGTAGGGACACGAAGCACGCATACGCCACGAAAATATACATATATCTAGATATAAACAGACACCCTCCGACGAACTTTGAGTGTACCTTTAGGGAGGGCGGCGGTGTATAAAATCGCTGGCTCTCAGCGGTGACTTATACACTGCCACCCTCCCCTGACGCCCCGGAAAAATCCATTGGAGGGCGTGTGTCAGAATTTTGTTGTGGCGGAGCGTCCGTTAGATTCAAACGCGACCCTTCGAAAAGAAATGCCGCCGCCAGCCTGCACGCGGCTTCTGCAGCGAGCGGCGCCTGGGCCAGCTCTGCTTCCTGATCCTCGCCCGCGCACGGGCGGAGACCAGGCCCCCCGCCCTGGCGGCCGCATCCGCTTCGAGTTGGCCTTCTCCCGAGGGCCGTCTCGCCCTCGGGCCCACCCTCCCCCTCGCAGGACAGGCGCGCCTCGACGCTCTGAGCCACACGCATCACGCGGCGCACGCGCTGGCTCCACACAAGAGGCCCCGCTTAGGGTTGAGGTTTAGGAGGAGGAGGAGGAGGAGGAGGAGGAGGAGGAGGAGGCGGAGGAGGATGGGGAAGCGGATGGGGGAGGCGGGGGGTGGAGGAATGGGAGGAGGAGAAGGAGGAGGAGGAGGAGGAGGATGGAGGAGGAGGAGGATGGAGAAGGAGGAAAGGAGGGAGAAGTAGCAGAAGGATGAGAAGGAGGAGAGGGAGGAGGATAAGGTGGAGGAAGCAGGCGGGAGGAGGAGGAGGACTGGCAACGGCTGCACGCTAGCGGTGGCCCAAGGAACGAGTGACCCCAGGCGCTCGGCTATTGACGGTGGGGCGCGGGGGGGCGAAGCCAAGCGCGGAGGAGGAGGAGGAGGAGGAGGAGGAGGAGGAGGAGCAAGAGGGGGAGGGGAGGAGGAGGACGAGGAGGAGAACAGGGAGGAGGAAGAGTCCCCGCGCCATGGGCGTGTACTGGATGTGCAGCGTGGCGCCAGGCCCCATGCCTGGGGGCACCTGGGCCTGCACCACCTGGCCGTCGGGCGCCCGGACCTGGATCGCCTGCCGGGGGACGCCGAGGGGGGTCACTACTGGCAGGGGGGTCGCCGCCTCCTCGAGTTCCTCCTCCTCCCCTCCTCCTCCTCCTCCTCCTCCTCCTCCTCCTCCTCCTCCTCCTCCATCCCTTGTCATAGAAACATGAGCCCCTCCCTGTCGCACCCCTGGACGTGTCAGTAGGGCAGGCCAGGCGTTTCGACTGAGACTTCCTGACCATGTCTGATCCTGAAGCTTGACAGTTGCAACCGCTTCACGGATGGAGGGCAGGCCGTTCGCAACATGTAGTTCTCGCCCAAGCGCCGCGCACATTCGTTTCAAACAGTTGCATCAGTTTCAATAATTGAGGGCGGGCCGTTTTGGAAATGTGGCTCTGGACTTAGGGCCGCGCGCGTTCGTCTTGAAAGTCTGCAGCAGCTTTACGGATGGAGGGCGGGATCTGTTCAAAATGTTGATCTCGCTTTAGCGCCGCGCACATTGATTTAACACAAGTGCAGCCGTTTCAATGATTAAGGGCGGTTCTTTTTCACGTCGTGGTTCTCGCAATAACGCCGCGCACATATGTATGGAATATTGGCGACGTTTTCAAGGATTCGCAAAGTCGAAGTCCCAGGAATTATGTTCTGCCAAAACTTAAGACTGCCAGGACGCACCAATCCCGTTGATTCGCGTGGTTGATGTCCCACGGATAGCGGTCATGATTCAGGATCGTCACAACGCAGCAGACAGGTTGATTCGCGATGATGAAATCCCAGGAATTGTGTTTTGGCACGAATGAGGACTCTCAGACGGGTGTCTTCCAATGGAGCATTTCCCGCAATGCATGTACATTCTTGTATGGCCTCATGAAGACGGAACTTGGACGGGGGGGTCATTGCAAAATCGTTGATGCGTCTTGGCTTTCCACTAGTCCCCCTCCTCCTCCGCCTTCTTCTCCTCTCCTTCCTCCTCCACATCATCCTTCTCCGAGCCAAGACCCTACCAGACACCCCCTAAAAAGCACAAAACCGTCCAAACTCGCCTCGGTCCTCGATTCCCTTACCTCGATCCCCAGGATGAGCTGGCGACCCCCTGGTGGTGCTCCTCTTGGTGTTGCCTGAACCTGCCCGGGGCCCACGCCGGGCGGCACCACGATCTGCAGCACCTGCCAGGAGAAGGAGCAGGACTGGGAAAATGTTACCTTGGGGTGTGATGCATTAGAAGTGTTAGTCGCAATAGAAGTATGAGTCGCAGTACTAGTAGAAGCACTCGTACTAGTACTAGTAGTAGTAGTAGTAGTAGTAGTAGTAGTAGTAGTAGTAGTGGTGGTGGTGGTAGTAGTAGTAGATGTAGTAGTAGATGTAATAGTAGTAGTAGTAGTAGTAGTAGTAGTAGTAGTAGTAGTAGTAGTGGTGGTAGTAGTAGTAGTAGTAGATGTAGTAGTAGATGTAATAGTAGTAGTAGTAGTAGTAGTAGTAGTAGTAGTAGTAGTAGTAGTAGTAGTAGTAGTAGTGGTGGTAGTAGTAGTAGTAGATGTAGTAGTAGATGTAATAGTAGTAGTAGTAGTAGTAGTAGTAGTAGTAGTAGTAGTAATAGCAGCAGTGGCAGTAGTAGTAGTAGCAGCAGTGGTAGTAATAGTAGTAGTAGTAGTAGTAGTAGTGGTAGTAGTAGTAGTAGTAGTAGTAAGAGTAATACTAATAATACTAGTCGTCGCACTTGTAGTCGCAGCAGCAGTCGTGGGAGTAGTCGTAGTAGTAGTACTCTTAGTCGTACTAGTACTAGTACTAGTAGTAGTAGTAGAAGTAGTAGTAGTAGTAGTCGTAGTAGTAGCTGTCGTCGAAATAGTCGAAGTAGTAGTAGTAGTAGTAGTAGTAGTAGCAGTCGTAGTAGTAGTAGTAGTCGTCGTCGTCGTAGTAATAGTAGTAGTAGTAGTAGTAGTAGTAGTAGTCATAGTAATGGTAGTAGCCGGAGTAGTAGTAGTAGTAGTAGTAGTAGTAGTAGTAGTCGAAGAAGCTTAAGTCGTTGTCGTAGCAATCGTACTCGTGGTATGAGTAGTAGTAGTAGTAGTAGTAGTAGTAGTAGTAGTAGTAGTAGTAGTAGTATTAGTAGTAGTAGTAGTAGTAGTACTAGTAGTAGTAGTAGTAGTAGGACTAGTAGGACTAGTAGGACTAGTAGTAGCCGCCGTAGTAGTAGTCCTAGTAGTACTCGTTGCAATAGTAGTCGTAGTAGTCGTAGTAGTAGTAGTAGTAGTAGTAGTAGCAGCATCAGCAGTAGTAGTAGTCGTAGTAGTAGTAGTAGTAGTAGTAGTAGTCGTAGTAGTAGTGGTAGTAATGATCATAGTAGTAGTCGGAGTAGTCGTAGTAGTAGTAGTAGCAGCAGTAGTAGTAGTAGTAGTAGTCGTAGTAGTAGTAGTAGTAGTAGTAGTAGTAGTCGTAGTAGTAGTAGTAATAGTGGTGGTAGTAGTAGTAGTAGTAGGAGTAGTAGTAGTAGTAGTAGTAGTAGTAGTAATTGTTGTTGTTGTAATAGCAATATTACTGGTCATAGTAGCAGTAGTAGTAATAGTAATGGCAATACTAACACTCATAGCATTTAGATTCGTAGTAGCAGTGGCCGTCGTGATAAGGGGAATACAATGTAAAAACCGTAGCCGTAATCGTTGTCGTACTCGTAGTCGTAGTATGGTTCGTAATAGTAACACTCGTACTGGGCGGAGTCGTAGCGGTAGGAGTAGCATTCGTTGGCTTCGTCATACTATTCGTGGTAGTCGTGGTACTCTGACTAGTAGTAGTACAAGGAGGAGCAGGGGTACTAGTAGTAGTAGCAGCAGCAATACGAGTAGCCGTACTAAGGATAGTTAGTACAAGTAGTAGTAGTAGTAGTAGTAGTAGTAATAGCGATAGGCATAATAGTACCAGTAGTAGTAGTAGTAGTAGTAGTAGTAGTAGTACTACTACTACTACTAGTACTAGTAGCCGTAGTAGTAGTAGTAGTAGTAGTAGTAGTAGTAGTCGTAGTAGTAGTAGTAGTAGTAGTAGTAGTAGTAGTATTAGTAGTAGTAGTAGTAGTAGTAGTAGTAGTAGTAGTTTGAGTAGTAGTAGTAGTGGTCGTAGTAGTGGTAGTAGTAGTGGTAGCAGAAGTCAAAGCAGGAGTCGTAGTAGCAGTAGTAGTAGTAGTAGTAGCAGTGGTAGTAGGAGCAATCGTGGTAGTAGGAGTAGTAGTGGTAGTATCAATAGTATGTTCAGTAGTAGTAGTAGTAGTAGTAGTAGTAGTAGTAGTAGTAGTAATAGTAGTAGTAGGAGGAGGAGGAGTAGGAGGAGTAGAAGGACGGCTGAGGGTAGTAGTACCATAAATCGAACTGCTAGCTACGCATTGCAATTATTGTAGTAGCGATTGCAGTAGTAATATTAATGGTGGCGAGAATGGAAGCAAGCATATAAGTTACGGGCAAATAATAATGATGATAGTGAGGACGATACTATCATAGGTGGTGGTCTTACCAGTTCGTGAACATGAGAAAGGTAGCGGGACGGAGGCGGAGGCGTCACCCGAATAACAAGGAATGCAAAGGTGGAAAATGGGCTGTGAAACCATTCCCCCCGCTCCGCCCCAACCATCCCTACCATTCTCAGCACAGCCAAGGACGGTGGAGAGGCTGTCGCGGCCGACAGCATTTTTGACGGCGGCCGCGGTGGAGCGGCGGTGCAACCTGCGGTCGCTGCCGCGGGGCAAGTTCCTCTTGCTGCCTTTGGCGCCTCTCCTCCGCCTCCCTGGCCTTGGCAGCCCTCTCCTCCTCCTTCCGCGCGGCCTCCTGCTGGGAGGCCGCAGGAGGTGGTGCTGCAAAGGTGGGGGGGGAGGGCGCCGAAACGGGCGGAAAGGGTGGAGGGCTCCCAGCGGGTCCCCTGCCCCGTCTTGAGATGTGTCCGCGAGAGGCCGTTTAGAAGGTGCCGTCTCTGAGAGGCGGCGGCTCTCTCTCTCTCTGTCTCTCTCTCTCTCTCTCTCTCTCTGGGAAGGCCCCGTCCACGACCGCACGCCCGCGCAGAGCTGGGGGCCCTCGACACCTGGACTCTCGATCGGCGGCGCCTGGGATCCAAGTTGCGGTCGTGGCTGCGGCAGGCCTACTGCGGTCATGCGGGATGACGATTAATAAAAAATGGGAGAGAACGATTAACAACATAGTTTTCTGCTATTTCTGCACAAGTTTCTGACTGGAGGAGAGCGATTGAAAAGATAGTCTTCCAGCCCGCGGTCGGTTTTTTCTAATCGTCATCCCGGGCGCCGCCGTGTGAACACGACCCCCGGTCATTTATTAATCGTCATCCTCCATTCTGTCTTGATCGCGAAGGCGGCAAGAAAGGCTAGGTCGGGCATGTCCTCCTACAGGCGGACACTGGACGAACACTGAAAAACAGCCAACACATACTCGAACAAACACAAGCAAAAAAGTAGCAAGATCGTCCCCAGACTGTTTTTTGATAATATGTTTGGCTCCTGGTCCTGTAGGAGGGACACGCCCGACCTCCAAGGACGGCCAGGAGGCAAACGGGGTGGCGAGGGCCGCGGACGTCTGGGGCGCCCAGAGAGCGCGAACCACTCCGCGGGAGAAGCGGGGGGGCAGACCCCCGTCCTCGTCAGTCTCCACATGGGGACCTGCCGGACTCATCCCATCAACAGTGGTCCACCCGGGGCCGCTCTCCTACTCCTCCTCCTCCTCCTCCTCCTCCTCCTCCTCCTCCTCCTTCGAGGAGGAGGAGGAGAATGGGGGTGAGGGGATGTGGGGTGTGGGCGGGGGTGGGTGGGGGGATGGGGCAAGGGGGGGAGGATGGCCGAGGCCCCGAGACAGGACACGGCGAACAAGAGAGTATGGAGAGGACATAGGAAGACGGGGAGGCGTTCTCCGGAGCTCCCCCACGAGGTCTGGAAGGCCTCTCCTGGCCTCAGCAAAGGATCAAGAGCGTTCTCAAACCTGCAACAGAAGGGGCAAGGAGAACCCGCGTGATGTCCGCAAGCATCCCACGGATGAGCTCTGCCACTCCGCGAGCCCCAGGGAGCCCCGGCCCCTGTTTTCACGGGGCAGCTCGCCGCCCGGGGCCCAGTAGTCTGGCAGGCTCCTGGGCCCGCAAGCGGCTCCCCGGAGGCCGAGGTGGAGGGACCACGAAGGGATTGACAAAGACCATCCCGTCCTCTTCCTCCTCCTCCTCTTCCTCCTCCTCCTCCTCCTCCTCCTTCTCCTCCTCCTCCCGGCGCATGGGTCCACCAAACCCTTCCAAGCATTCCCCCGGCGATGGGCCCAGCCCTTCCTCAACGCGAGGGGTATGCCATACCAGGGGTATGCTGGTATGCCGAAACGGGGCGGGCCACCATGCGGACGTGGCACGGACGTGGCCACTGCGGCCTTCGGTGGAGCTCCGTACGGGTAAGGGGGTGTGCCGACATGGGGCGTGTCACCATGCGGCCGCAGCCTCTGGAGACTTCGGTGGAGCTCCCTGTGGGGCCACGAAGCGAGACAGGAGGAGGGTCAGGAAGAGGAGGAGTTGGAGGTGGGAAGGAGGAGGAGGAGGAGGCGGGGCGCAGCGCTGCGATCTCCAAACGAGGACCCCATACACAGGAGGGCTGGGAAAAAAGCTGAGGCTGGCGCCCAGACCGACGACGCCGTGATTTGCTTCACGGTCTGGACCCCGTTGCATCATCGTGAGCCGTGCCTCGACGGCCCCCGCGAGCCGGCAAGGTCCCCCAGAGGCCAAGCAGGGCCGAAAGCATTTCGGTGCGACTTTCTGCCTCGCAACCAGGCGAACTCCTCGCGAACCAGTCCACACCACGAGGAGGAGGGAGGAGGGAGGAGAGGAGGAGGGAGGAGGAGGAGGAGGAGGAGGAGGAGGAGAGGAGGAGGAGGAGGGAGGAGGAAGGGACGAGGTGAGGAGGGAGGAGGGAGGGGAGGAGGAGGAGGAGGAGGAGGAGGGAGCTCCGCGCGGGCTCCTTGGGTCGGCGCTGGACCCTTCCCCCGGCGCGCGGAGCGCGCAATGGGGGGGCGACGGAGGCGTCGCCAGGAGGGCCCCTAAGCGCTTTCTGCCAGCCTTCATGTGGTGGACTCGTGTCTCCAGGAGCAGGAACTGGCACCCATTTGCAGGAAGGATTGCGGCCTCGAGGGCGCAAGACTGCCGCGATGTACGACAGACCCGCGCGGCGCTCCGAGACGGTGCAGTCGGGAGCTTCCGCTTGGCGCGTCGCCCCGGCGGCCCCGGCGACACGCTATGCCTTGCACGCGGATGCCGTGTCGCCCCGCTCCGCCGGACGGAGGGCTGGGAAGGGCCAGGGGCTCGGGACGCTGACGCCTGGAGGCTGGGACATGGATCACGTGTCGAGCCGCAGCGTGGCAGGCCAGCACCGGCGGCGTGACACCCCAGGCCCAAACTCCTGATCGTATGCCGTTTGCGCGGATCCGGGTGCGTTTCGGTGTAAAACAAGGCCAGGATCGGGATGAATCGCTCCAGAGCGTTCCGGAGCGCTCTCGGAGCGTTCCGGAACGCTCTGGAGCGGCCGCGGCGCCCCATGCAGCCTCCAAACCCGCCGACTCTCGGAGACTTCGAGTTACCCCGATCCGATTTTGTCCCGATCTTCGCGTCGTTTGACGTGCCTCAACCCCTTGACGCTCGCAGCGCAGAGCCTGCCGTGCCGGCGCAGGCACGGGCGACGCCGGCCATGCGACGTTCGCGAGGCGCGCGCCGAGAGCCCACTCGAGCTCCTCCTCCTCCTCCTCCTCCTCCTCCTCCTCCTCCTCCTCCTCCTCCTCCTCCTCCTCCTCCTCCTCCCCCTCCTCCTCCTCCTCCGTCGTTTTACGGTGCGCCGAGGTGCTCCTGCGCGCGCCTCTCGCGCGCCTCCTCCTCCTTGCGGTTCTGCTCCTCCCGCCTGCGTGGCCGGCCGGGGCGGAGGACACACACAGGCCAGGCCGGCACGGGGGTGTGCCCCGCAGGGACGGCGACGACAGGCGACGACGACGACGACGACGACGACGACGACGACGACGACGACGACGACGACGACGACGACGACGGACGACGACGACGACGACGACGACGACGACGACGACGACGACGACGACGGACGACGACGGACGACGACGACGGACGACGACGACGACGACAGACGACGACGACGACGACGGACGACGGACGACGACGACGACGACGACGACGACGGCGGACGACGGCGGACGACGACGGACGACGACGGACGACGACGACGACGACGACGACGACGACGACGACGACGGACGACGACGACGACGACGACGACGAAGACGGTGACGACAGACGACGCCGGCGGACGACCAACGGCGACGACAGACCCAGTCCGAGGCTCAAGACTTCCCCTTGTCAAAAACAAGGTGCCAGCCCCTGGAAGGGCACTTCAACTGAGCAGACACACCAGGCGCCCCGCAGGGGGGATCAGCAGTAGCTTTTCTTCCGAACCGAGAACAAGCAGGTCAAAATTGGTTGCTCTTCCTGTGCTCGCGTGCCCCTCAGCACGTATATCCCAAACCTCCAAGACCCACCCTGCTCGCCTTCGACCGTACGGGGGGGAAGAACCAGGAGGCTGCGCGGGCGGACCCTCACTGGCGGACCGGGCGGGCGGGCCCTACCAGGCGGGTCGGGCAGGCGGACCCTTGACAGGCGGGCCGGGCGGGCGGGCCAAGACGGGAGGGTCGGGCGGGGCACCGAGGTGGGCGTGCTCCCAGGCAGGCGAACGGGCGGACCCCAACGGGCGGGTCGGGCGGGCAGCCTGACGGGCGGGCGGGGCATCCACGCGAAGTCCGAAAACCGGGAAGAGACTCCCCACGCGCGAGCACGCTTCCTGAACACTCTGTGAGGCAGACTCGCGCGAGAGCGCGACTCCTAGACGTCGAAACCGCAGTGTGTGAACAACTTCAAAACATGATCGCAAACGCGAGTCCTTAGCACAGTGGGACCAAGCGGAAACCGTTGTTGCTGTCGTGAACCAAAGGCAAAAAACACACTTTGAGTCTCAAGCCTCTCCCTGATGAAACCCGGGTGGGAGCCCTGAGGGTGGGGCACTTCAGTTGACAGCATACAATGGGCACCGAGGGGGGATCAGCAAGAATCATTCTCCAGAAATGTGAACTCGAGAACGGCCACAATGATTGTAGGACTGTTCGCTCCCATCTGCTCGCGTGTAGATCCGCGTGTGTGCCGCAGAGCGTCGATGCTGGCCACGACTTCATCTTCGATCCGATACCCCTTGGGGTAGATCAGAGAGAGGAGGGAGACGGCACAAGACACAAGGAGGAAAGGAGTGCGGGAAGGGAGAGAGGGGGAAAGGGGAACACGATAAAGGAAAGAGGAGGGAACACGGGAAAGAGGAGGGAGTACGGGAAGGGAGGGAGGAGGGAAGGGAGGGAGGAGGGAAGGGAAGGGAGGGGAGGGAGGAGGAGGGGAGGAGGGAGGGAGGGAAGGGAGGGAAGGGAGGGGGATACGATGGCGCACGAAGGAGATTAGCAGCAGGGCGGCTCGGAACCGGAGAGCAGACACGGCAGAGCCTGATGGGCGGGGGCTGGGCGAGCGGACCCACATTGGGCGGGGCTCGCACGGCGTCGGAGCGGGCGGGCGGGCGTCTGGGAGAGAGCGCGCGTGGACGCCTGCTTGGAAAAATCCCCGGGCACGTCGGAAGCGGGAGGGGAGGGGGGGGGGGGCTCAAACAGCTGAAGCGCCCAGAGAGCGGGGGGTTGGGGGAGACGGGGGGCCCGGGCGCCAGCCTCTCGAACTGGCCCCCCCGCCCCCTGCCCAAGGGGGGGGGGGGCTCCCTCCCAGAGCAAACAACTCGAATCAGGAATCCCACAATACCTGCGACTCACATTAACAGCACCCTGGTGGGGCTCGTTCCAACACGAGTGGGATCCTACTGTAGCTGGACCCAGCTCTGATCTAACCGTACTGAGGCACGATCCATCTCACATCCGACCCTCCTAGAACCCTACAATACTTGAATCCAGCTCTGAATCCGACTAGGGCTCGATCCATCTCTACTAAAACCCAACGTACCTGGAGCCGACTTTAATCGCATCCTAGACAGGCTCTATCTAACTTTTTAGAATCATACTATATAGCTGGACTCAGCTCTCATTCAATCCTTCTAAGGCGCGATCAGTTTCAAATGTTATCCTACTATAGCTAGATGATAATCAACTTGAATCCTACAGGGCTCCATCCAGCACTCATAGAATCTTACTCGGGCTCGATCCACCCGTTCAAGGATCCTGCTGAGGCTCGACAGTCGTCGCTGTCGTTGCCCGACGGCGCCAGCGCCAGTGCTCGCCGCCGTCGGTTGCCACTGGGAAGGAAGGGGCGGGGGCCGGTTCGACCCCCCCCCCTCCACTCCCCTGCAGTTCAGGGTGGGGGGGGGGGAAACTCCCATCACTGAAGGGGCCCCAAGACACACAAATGAGTACACACAAATAAAAAGATGCCCCCTATTGTCCCATATTTTCTCTAAGTTTGTCTCTTCCCCCCCACTTCCCATATTCTCCCACATCTTCCGGGGACTCGACGATTAATTGTGTCTGTGTGTGTTTTCTCCTCCTGAATCCCCTCCCCAGCGTCCACAGAAGGCGCGCTCTTCCCAGCACCGCAGTCCTGGGGCGCGGCGAAGCGCCCCAGGGGCGCTGCCGGAGGCGGCAGCAAGGGCGTCGAGACCGCCCCGGACTACTGCGGGATGACGATTATTTGAAAAAAACTTGAGAGAACGATTAAACGAATAGTTTTCTGCTATTTCTGCACAATTCTCTGACTGGAGGAGAACGACCAAAAAACAAGATTTTCCAGCCCGCGGCCGGTTTTTTCTAATCGTCATCCCGGGCGCCGCCGCGTGAACACGACCCCCGGTCATTTATCGATCGTCATCCTCCATTACTCGGGGGGCCGGTTGAGGCCAGCTGGGACTATTCGGAGGGCCTGTTGAGGCCAGCTGGCGCTCCCCGGGAAGGCTGTCCGTGCGCGCCCCGAAGCCCTACCAGACCACGAGCGACCGATCGATCGGTCCATGGCCGACCGATCCAGCCCCAGGCCGTGCCAGGGCCGATCGATCGAAGCACGAGCGATCCGTCCAGCGATCGATCCATCGAGCGATCGATCCCTCGAGCGATCGATCGATCCATCGAGCGATCAGTCCCTCGAGCGATCGATCGACTCGACGAGGGAACAGACCGCGCGAAGCGCGACCCACCCCTCGATCGAGCCCCGGGCTGGCCCCGCGCCGCGGCCCCCCCCGCGCGCCCGCGCGGGGGGCCGCGCCGCGCGGGGGGGGCCGCCTCCGCGCTTCCTCCTCGCGCCGCTGCCGCTCCTCGGCGTCCCGCTGCAGCTTGCGCTGCAGCTCCTCCTGCTGCGGGCACGGCCGGGCATCATAGCCGGCTCAAAATCGAAAGAGGCATCATGGCCTCATCCATCTAGATGGATCCACTCACGGCTCCACAGCAATGGATTGTCATTGAATTCATTCCATGCGTAGCATGCTCTCCCCTCGAAGAATGACAAAATCACGACAGGAGGCTTTTCGCCATTCTTGGCACATGGGGGCCCTTCCCGGGGCTCGGGGCCGTTCAACAACTGACTCAGGATGAATACCTGGTCCCGGGGAATGTGTCGTCGACGTCATGAAAAAATCATGCCATCGGGGGTCTGGGAAGACTTGTGACCACATCCACTCTGGCTTTGAGTTTCGGGCTCCCTTCCCCAGAAGCCCGAGGCGCACTGGATAGACGGACAAGAGTCTGGCCCCCCTAGAGGCTCGATGGTTGTTATCCGTATCCAGTGCGCCGCGGCCTTGTAGCATCCCTTCCAAGAAAGTCCAGGGCGCACTCGATATGGATGCAAAGCTTGCCCGCACCTGTGTCCGGTGAGCTGAGAGGAGATAAGCTCATCCAGGTAGCAAGCGAGGGACCTTTGCTCCCACGTTTTTAGCTTTGCGAGCTTCCGGCACGTCTTGTGGCCGCAAAGCGGCGGTGAGTCTCGCCAGCCGCCTGTGAGCTGGCAAACAGTGGGAGGAGGCTTTCCTTTGCGAGCCCCGTTCCGCGTCGGGCACCCGCGAGCGGGCTGCATCTTCGGGGGGCACTGTCGATCCCGCTGCGCCCCTCTGCGCGTCGAGTCCGTGCCGAAGCCATGCCGGACGCGTCGAGTTTGCGTCGAGTACGCGTGGAATCCCCGCGGAATCCACGCCAACTCCGCGTCGAGTCCGCATCGAGCCCGCGTCGGGCACGAGACAAGCCACCATTTTGTTTGGAGGACAGACGAGGTCCCCCGAACATGCAATGTAACCAGTTGAGCGGGGGAGCGACCAGGTCAGAAAGCAACTCACGCAAGTTTGTGGTCGTTGCCATGACGCCCAGTAGCGCGGCCTACCGCGCGCAAAGCGGACATGATGCATCTCCCTCGCATGGCGTTCGTGGGCGCTTCGCTATTGGGCGTTGTTTGAGATCTGTTCGGCGCTACAGGGCGCCATTTGTAGCTATGTGTTCTTGTTGAACGCTGTTGTGCGCGAGTGGCCGAAATACACTCAACCCAAGACAGACGGAAGCTTCCGTGATTTACTATCTAATGCAGGGAGGGGGGCGGGCTGGTCAGCCAAAGACTTCCAGCGGGCTTCGGCCGACCCCGCCGGCCCTCGGGAGAGGGTACACTCCCTCGACCTCTCCGCCGGCACTGCCCCCCCGGCCGCGGACGACCGCCGCGCGAACTCCTCAGGCGGGGTCCCGCCCCTCCAGGCTCCTCTTTTGAAGCCTCAAGAGGCCCCGAGGACGGGCCGCAAGTGGGTTCCGAGCCGCAGGTCGATTGCTTCAAGACGCCCACAGCGGCCTCAAAACGGCTCGCGATGCGACCACGACGCCCCAAGAGGGCCTCAAGAGCCCCATCCAAGAAGGGCCCAGGAAGCAAGCGTTTGAGTTACGAACGGGGAACGCACGTGTTTGGTAGATACGCCTTTTCAGCTTGCGCAGCGTCCAAGACGGCACAAGATGCCCAACACATCGCCCCGAGACGGCCCAAGAGGCACCCGAAAGGGGCCGAAGGCGGCTCACGAGGGCCCCACGACCGCCCCAGGAGGCGCCCAAGACGGCCCCAAGAGGGCCCCAAGGAGGGCCCCCAAGGAGGGGGAGCCCGAAACGACGCCTCTAGCGTTCCACCCCGAGGGAACCTCCCAGCCCGCCTGCAGGTCCCCCAGAGGCCCCCCAAGGGGCCCCGAGGAGCTCAGGAGGCCCCAAAGGGGCCTCCGAGAAGCGCCCACACAACCCCTGAGACGACCCAGGGGCGCCCAAAAGCCTCTGCCCCACAACCCGGGCACTGTGGCGGGATGGGCCGCAGGCTCCTCGATGGACCCCCTACTCTCTCGCAACCTGCTGCTCCCCCTCCTCATTCTCCACGGCCTGTTCTTTCTCCCTTCCCTCAGCCCTCATTCCTCGTTGTCCCCACCCCTCCTCATCATCATTCTGGTCAACCTCCTCGTCTTCTCCCCTTGTCCTCGTGACGCCCGCATTTCTGTGAAACCTTAAATTTACTATGATGCGAACCTTCCGGCCTTCTCGCCCGTACGAGCACACTCGACGGTCGACTTGTCCCACAGATAACCCCCCAAGATAGCACTAGAGCCCTCCGAAATGCCCCACCGGCCCTGCGGGAACTCCCGCTCTGCAACATGTTTTCCACGGGGTCGGCGGATGTGGCGCAAGCTTCCAGAACCATACACGTTCGGAGGTCTGCGCAGATCTCTTGGATCGGATCGGCGCTGGGCCCCTCCTGGGCGCGCTCCGCGCGCCAGGGGCGTCGCTGCAGACGCCGCCAGAGGGGTCCAGCACCGACCCGAGACATCCGCGCGGACCTCCGAGAGCGTAGGTTTTCATGGGGCACTTCCCCCCCGATCCTCAGAAAGGGCTGGGCCCTCGGAAGGCCTGCCCCTTCCGCGCCCGCTGCCCGCGCCGGCCCCCCGCCCCCGGGGGCTCCTGGCGCTTCCGCTCCATCTCCTCCTCCTCCCGCCGGCGCTCCGCCGCCGCCCGCTCGAGGCGCCTCTTGGAGCTGAGCTCCTCCCGCTGCCGGCGGAGCTGGTCCTCCTCGTAGGACCTGGCGAAGCCCGTGAGCTCCTCCTCGCGGCGGCGCCCCACGAGTCGGAGGGCGCGGGGGGGGGCGGCCTGCTTCCAAGGCGGCGGGGCTCCCGAGGAGGCCGAGGGGCTCCTCCAGGGCCCGCCCAGCTTCCAGGGTGAGGTCGGGCATGTCCCCCCACAGGCGGATCCGGGGCGAAAACCAAAAGAGTCAAACCAGACGCAAAAAGTGCCAGAAAAAGAATCGAAACCTCCTCCCCAGACTACTCTGTCTTACGATTTTGGAGTACTCCCCCTGCAGAGGGGCACGCCCGACTTGATTCTGGGACGCCCTCGTCGAAGCCTCTGGGGCGGCCCCCCCCGCCTTCTCAGGAGACCGCCCCCCCGTCGCGCCGCCTCCCTGTGGGCGCAGCCAGTCCTCGTCCGACGACTCCAGGGCGGCCGCCTCCGCCAGTCGCTGGACGGTCTTCTCCACCGTCGCCTGGAACTCCACCTCTCGTCTGCACGCATCGGTGGCTCTGGGCTTAGGTCGGGCCTGTCCCCCTACAGGGGGGATTTTGGACGAAAAGTAACGAATTATAGAACAATGCCCCCAAATGCTCTAAAATAATCGAAAAATCGTCCCCAGACTATTGCTTGACTTTTCTTGGATATTCCCTCTGTAGAGGGACACGCCCGACTTAACTCTAGGCAAGAGTGGCCTTCGGTGCGCGCCCTGAGGGGGCCGCTGGGGGGGGGGCATCTCAGAGGAGGGACGGATGCCGATACTTGTCACCGGTTGGACTATTCTTGACACCCTGGTCTCGGAGCGCACCCCCAAGTCCGGGGAGCAGCGATGTCGATACGTTTGTTCCCCGAGAAACCAAGCGCGACGTCACCAGTGTTGGGGCAAGATGCGTCAGCACCGATTCGGGACATCGGATCGAATCGGAACGTGCGTCGGATCATGCCGCCCCGGCACGGAGTCGAAATCAAATCGGATCGGCTGCACCGAGATGCACCACATCGCCATGTAGGCACCAGACCGCATCGGATCGCCGAGAACTCGGAACCGAGTCGGATCGAACTGGCCACGATCGAGATCGGATCGATGATCGATCGGATCGAAAGGGGCCCTGGCCGGGGAGGGGGGGGGGCCGCTCCCAAAGCCACCCTTACGCTCGAGGGCCGCTCTCGCGCGCTGAGCGGGCCTTCCCGCACAGCGCCACGTCCCGCAGCCGCCCCCAGTACTCCCGGTAGAGGACCTCCCCGAAGACGCGGCCCACGATCGCGGGGTCGTTCATGTAGACACCGCACCCGACGTCGCACATCACCTGTAGAGGAAAGAGAACTATGCACATACACCGAGTCTGGCCAGGCCCATCCTGAGCCCAGGATCGGTGCATACGCTCTCCTGCCTTGGCCAGGAAGGTATATGCACCGATCCAGGGTCAAGGATGGACGTTGTCAGGATCGGTGCATGTGCATAGTTCTCTTCGCCCGAACCTGGGGGAGTGGACCCAGACACCCAGCGTCTCGAAAAAAAACGAGCACCGGAAGTTTCTACTAGGTTGCTGCCCCGCGGGGGCCCTTAACCCGGGCACATGGGCCGTCAAGCACCGGCTCGGGGTGAAGAGCTCGTCCCGGGGACGTGATCGAGAGGTCGGGGGTCCGAGTGAGCAAGAGATCGAGCCGCCGGATGTCCGGGCTCGGGGAGCACGAGGGGTGCCGACAGCACCCCGACGGGGGTGGATACGGCCGTGGAGACGAGGGCCGCCGAGCGGCCCAGACAGGCGAGGACGAGGCGATGGTATTCTGCCGCCGTCTCCCCTGAGCACCAGCGCTGAAGCTCCAGCGCTGACGGCAGCGGCAAGCACGCTCCGAAACTTGTCAGCGACAATCTGCTCGTACAGGTTCAGGTCCTCTGGCGCGTCCAGGGGCGCATCACCCACTGCGGGGTTCTTGTTGAACATCGCCACACTGATGACCGCTGCCAGCTCCACGGGGCGCTGCATGAATGGATAGCCCTGAGAAGTTCCCTCTCGGAACAGCTCCACCTGCAGGAGGAAGGCTTCCTCCTGCCTTCTCCTCAGCACCCTCCTGGTCGGAAACGCATGCTCCCCTATCGCACGGGGGCCTTGACGAAATTGTGGCGGTAAAGGAGAATTCTTTAGTGTATGCGTCTCCCTTTGTCTTTCTGGCAGAATAAATATGTGTATACGTGACTGTACGTGTATATGCATATACACACGCATATAGCTATACACACACATATAAATATATGCATGTGCGTTTCCGTTTTAGTCAGCGTGGACCCCAAGCACTGCGTTTCTAGCATAATGAGGTGCAAAACATGTAGGGCAAGGACTGTGGTGCAATCTACGTGGTTCAATTGGTGCAGTGCGACCGATGTGGTCCAATATATGTGGTGCGATCTATGTTGTGCAATCTAGATTATACAATGTATGACGTGCGACCAATGCTGTACAACCTATGTAGTGCATCCTGTATGTGTTGCAATGTGTGTGGTGCGATCCATGTGGTACTAGAAATATGGTGCAATATATGTGGTGCTGTCTCTGTGGTGTGATATATGTTGTGTGATTTAAGCGGTGCAATCTACGTGGTGCAACATATGAGGTGCAACCTATGTGGTGCAAGTCACTTTGACTGTCTTGAAACTGTCCTCTCCACTGCTCGTGCAAACATCCCACCCTCCCACCCGCAACTTGGTCGCAAGACCTCCTAAGATCGTGACGGTAGGTAACACATGGCACTTGGCAACGACACCGACGCCGAGAACGACAGCGACAACGACGACGACGAAGCCGACGACGACTACGACGACACCGACGACGACTGCGACGACTTCGACGACGACAACGACGACAACGACGACGACGACGACGACACCGACGACGACAACGCCGACGAAGACGACGACGACGACGCCGACGATGACGACGACGACGCCGACGCCGACGCCGACGACGACGACGACGGCGACGACGACGACGACGACTACGACGACATCGACGACGACTGCGACGACTTCGACGACGACGACAACGACGACAACGACGACGACGACGACACCGACGACGAAGACGACGCCGACGAAGACGACGACGACGCCGACGATGACGACGACGACGACGCAGACGGCGACGCCGACGACGGCGACGACAACGACGACGATGACGACGACGGCGATGACGACGACGACGCCAAAGAGGACGACGACGACGACGTCGCCGACGAAGACGACGACGACGACGAGGGAGGAGGGAGGACGACGACGGCGACAACGACGAAGGAGGGAGGACGGCGACAACGACGACTACAACGACGACCACAACGACGGCGACGAAATAGGAGGGACGACGACGAGACGCCGACGACGGACGACGCCGAAGACGACGGAGGAGGAAGGACGACCACGGCGACAACGACGACGGAAACGACGACGACGCCAAAAAGGACGACGACGACGACGAAGAAAGACAGAGGACGACGACGGCGACGACGACGACGAAGGAGGAGGGACGACGGCGACGACGACGACGACGCAATAACGCGCGCGCACGCTTTTGTTGAAAACCCGTGTTGCGAAACCATGTGTTTTTGTTATGTTTTTTGGACACACGATTTTGGAACCCTTCCGAAACCCAAGGTTTTTGAAGATCTCGGCATGCGCGCGCGACGACGCGCGCGTCTGCAATTCGTCCCTTTTCTTTGCAGCCGGTTCTCGCAACGGCACGCGCGCAAGGGCGTTCGAAAGATTTCGACATGCGCGCGCGAAACCCGTTTGGTAGCATTTTGTGACAATCTTGAAACATCTGTGGTTTTCTTATGATTTCGCAAGAACGCGCGCGTAAGCTTTTTTAGACAATCCGTGTTGCGAAACCGTGTGCTTTATTATGCTGTTTTGGAATCTCGGCTCTGAAATCGCTCCGAAACCGCGAAGGATTCCGGCATGCGCGCGCGACGACGCGCGCGTGTGCACTTCGTCCCATTTGTTCAAACGATTCTTGACAATGTATGACCCCTGATAAACGCGAGCGCGCGCATTGTATTTTTTTGCCGTGGATGACGGGGGGTGGGGAGACCGGCCTGGCTGAGATAGTATGATTTGGTTTTTACGATGGACGGGTGTGCTGAATAAATATGAAATCGCGATACCCCTGGGGGTACCGTTAACTCCGGGGGGGAGTCTATTCTTTCTTTTGGAAAGGAGAATTAATTTCTGTTCGCAATGACTTGTTCACTCTACTGCTCGCGCAAACATCCCACCCACCAACCCACCCGCAATTTGGTTTGCAAAACCCATGCGGCGGCGATTGCGATGCGTGCTTGGTGTTGGCTGGTGCATCTCTGTGGCCGCCCTAGCCCGCGCATGCTCGCGCGCGCATCAGCCACCTAGTTTGGCGCGACCGACGCGAACGCGGTGGCGCTGACCGCTCGGCACATCCCAGCGGGCACTTCAGTGCGGGCGACTTGGGCGGGCGCGGTATCATGGCCACGTCGACTGCTGTAGACACGAAAATGACAATAGCGATGCTGGTGGCGATGCTGACAGCGACGACGGGAATCCCAGTGACGGCGCGGATGCTGATCGCGCCGACGACGATGACGCCGTCGTCGCGTCGGTGATGAAGGTTTTGGAAGGAGTTCGAAATGGGCGCGCGGCAGACGCGCGAGAGAGGCTAGCATGATATAATTTAACACGGATCGTGTCCCCTCAGACGCGCGCAAGGGCGTTCGAACGATTTCGACATGCGCGCGCGAAGCCCGTTTGGTAGCATGTTTTGGACATGTTGGAAAACCTAGGTGTTCTAAAAAATTCGCAAGAGAGCGCGCAATTTGTTTTGAACATCCGTGTTGCGAAACCATGTCATTCAGTGTTTTCCCCACACACGATTTTGACATCCATCCGAACCCGAAGGCGGTTGAAGGATGTCGGCATGCGCGCGCGACGACGCGCGCGTGCGCAATTCGTCCTAGTGTTCACAAGGGGCTCTTGAACCTTTATGATTTGTGATAAACGAGTGCGCGCGCATAGTATGTTTTGCAAGGGAACAGAAGGGGAGCCGATACTGGCCTGGCTGGGATAGTATGAACTCAGAGTTCGGATGGACGGTGGGGCAGAATCATATGTAAACTGCAATACGAAAGGGGGGCCTCAACACTGGGGGGGAGGGTGGTAGAACCTATCTCCTGTTCAAAAAGGAGAACCTATGAGGTGCGATTAATTTCTGTTCGCAATGAGTTGTTCACTCCACTGCTCGCGCAAACATCCCACCCACCCACCCGCAACTTGGTTTGCAAAATCTCTTACAACCGTGACGGTGGGTACCAATTGGCACGTGGCAACGACAGCGACGCCGACGACGACAGCGACAACGACAACGACGACGCCGCCCACAACGACTACGACGACACCGACGACGTCTCCAACAATTTCGACGACGCCGACAACGACGACGACGACGATGACACCGACGACGACGACGACGCCGCCGACGCCGACGACGACGACGACGATGACGATGGCAACGACGACGACGACGACGCCGACGACGACGACGAAAACGACGACACCGACGACGACGACGACGTCAACGACGCCGACGACGACGACGACGGCGGCGACGACGACGACGACGTCGACGACGACGAAGACGACGACGACGCCGACGCCAACGACGACGACGAAAACGACGACGACGTCGCCAACGAAGACGACGACGAGGGAGGAGGGAGGACGACGACGGCGACAACGACGACAACGACGACAACGACGACAAGGACGAGGGAGGAGGGAGGACAGCGACGACGCGAACGCCGACGCCGACGGAAGGACGGCGACGCCGACGACGACAACGACGAGGGAGGAGGGAAGACGACGACGACAACGACGACGACGACGACGACGACGACGACGACGGCGACGAAATAGGAGGGACGACGACGAGACGCCGACGACGGACGACGGACGACGACGAGGGAAGAGGAGGAAGGACGACCACGGCGACAACGACGACGGAAACGACCACAACGCCAAAGAGGACGACGACGACGAACACGAGGAAAGACAGAGGACGACGTAGGCGACGACGACGACGACGCGGGAGGAGGGAGGACGGCGACGACGACGACGACGACGCCGACGACGACGCAAGAACGCGCGCGCACGCTTATGTTGAAAATCCGTGTTGCGAAACCGTGTGTTTTTTGTATGTTTTTTGGACACACGAAGTTGAAACCCTTCCGAAGCCAAAGGGTTTTGAAGGATTTCGGGATACGCGCGCGACGACGCGCACGTCTGCACTTCGTCCCATTTGTTGCAAAAAATTCTCGCGACGGCACACGCGCAAGGGCGTTCGACAGATTTCGCCATGCGCGCGCGACGCCCGTTTGGTAGCATTTTGTGAACGTCTGGAAGAAAAAAACATGGGTTTTCTTAAGATTTCGCAAGGGCTCGCGCGTAAGCTTTTTTAGCAAGTCAGTGTAGCGAAACCCTGTGTTGTTGTATGAATTTTGGAAACTCGATTGCGGAATCCTTCCGACACCGAAGGTTTTTGGAGGATTTTGGCATGCGCGCGCGACGACGCGCGCGTGCGCACTCCGCCCCATGTTTTGCAAGGGGCTCGCGAAAAAATCTTATGTTCGAGCAACAAATGTCCCCGCGTATCGCTTGTCACAAGGGAACCGTAGCGGTCCAAGCCCCCCTGGGAGAGTGTAAATTCATATTCAGGATGGACATGTGGTCAGAATCATATTTGATGTACATACCCGAAAGGGGGGCGGATAACGCCGGGGGGGGGTAGAGTCCATTCGTTCTCTTTTAGAAAAGAGAATTCACCGATGCTCGCGGTGAGTTGACAACTCCAATGGTCGCGCACCCATCTCACCAACCCTCCCGCAGCTGAGTTGCAAAACCATGCGACGGCGATTGCGATGAGTGCTTGGCGATGCTAGTGCATCTCAGCGGCCGTGCTAACCCGCGCATGCTCGCGCGGGCAACGGCCAGCTGGTATGGAGCGGCCGACGCGGCTACGGTGGCGCTGACAGCTGGGCACTTCCGAGCGGGCACTTCAGTGCGAGTCGGCGAATTGGGCGGGCACGGTATCATGCGGACGCCGCCAACAATAGACACGATGATGAAAGTAGCGACGATGGTGGCGATGGTGGCAATAACGGTGGCAAGGCCAATGACGGCGCCGATGATGATCACGCCCGCCGGTAACGATGACGATGTCCTCGCGTCGGTGACGGAATTTTTGGAAGGAGTTCGCCATGCGCGCGATCGACGCGCGAGAATTTTAAGAATTCGAAAGTGCGCGCGCGCTGGCATGTTTGAATGCGGATGTTGTAACCCATATGATGTTGTATGTTTTCGGGACACTCGTTGTTGAATTCTTTACGAGACCAAAGACTGTGAAAGACTTCGGCATGCGCGCGCAACGACGCGCGTGTGTACACGGCGTCCCGTTTTTTTTGCAAGTCGTCCTCATGAATCCTCATGAGTCCTTACAAAGAGGGCGGAGGGGGCATTCAGAGGCGGAAGACTTCCGACCTGAGCAAAAAACGCACACACATATAACAGTCCGCTCGTCTGCAGCCTGGGCCTCGCGGGCACGGGTCCCGTGAGCGGAGTGCCGCGAGGTGCTGCTCGCATATTAAAACGAAGCAAATGCACAATCATACAAGGCTAAATCGGGAACCGCTGAGATCCGGCGGTCCTGGAGAATGTATCGGGCGCCGCGCCCCCTTCGCAAAACGTTCCACAACTCTCTGAGAGTCCCTGAACGCCATGGACAGAGTTATCCCTGCCGCGGGTCCGCCCGAAATACTCATGGTTGGAGGAGGTCGGACGAGCAGCGGGCACAACGCACTGAGTGCGCACCTGCTGCGGGAACCGAGGCCCGATACGAGGGATAACACTGGAGAAGGAACCATGCGATGAGGGGCCCAGGGTCTGGAAACCCGTGGAACACCAGCTGAGGCTGGGCCATGGATATCACCGCCACCCCCTATCATATCGGATATCGTCCAGGGCCTCTGGCCTCCTGGGTATGGCCCTCAACGGACGTCCCCACTGTGTGCGTGCGTTTTTGCGTGGCGCGGGGCGTTGCGCAAGGCGTGCTCTGACAGTGGGGCCTCATGAGGCCCGATCTGAACCTTAAGAAACGATATCAAGAGAAACAACTCAAGACATCATAAAGGATTCGGGAATGAGAAGGATCCACCCTCCTAGCCCTGCTCGGACAGTCCGCGCACCAGGGGGCGGCCTCCAGGGGCGACCCGAGGAGCTTGCACCACGGGGAACAAGGGGGCAAGCCCCGTCGGACGGAGGAGGCCAGGTCCCATCACTGTCGAATGCGAAAGATACCCGTACCTTTACCCAGGCGGGTTGGCAAGAGGCGGGGGGGGGGGCGACACGCCGCAGCCGACGGCGGTTGCACAAGTGCACATGCGACGGCCCATGGAACATTACAGGACGCTGTCTTTTCCCGGCGTTTGGCCGAAGTCGCTATCGGGCGCAGGCGCGGCCGTCGAGAGCTCCCCCGAACGCGGCCGCAGCGGCCCCCGGGGGAACGTGAGATTGCAACGAAGCTCCTGCAGGCCCAAACGCAACGGAGCGGTGGTGCCTGTCCACAAATGGGACAGGCACCACCATTCCAATGCTCTTCTAAACCCCGCGGACATCCCCGATGCCCCCAGACGTCCCTGACGCAAACCAGAGCATGTCGCTGCAATCAAACAACCAGCCATTCAGCGTGTCGTTGCGTCCTGACGCGCGGATGTTGAACCAGCGCGCACGCGGCAGGCTGATCGGGCGCAGCGGCAAGCGCCCAATCCAGCGGAACCGGGTAAGGGTACGTTTAGGAGTTTACGGCCAATGAATCACCATCGGTCCCCGAACCCCATCGGGTGCTCCTTTTCACTCCGGGAGCGCTTCTCGCGGCCTCGGGGCCCGGAAACAGCACCTGGAGGCCGCCAAAAAGACGAAGAACCTCCGCGAACCCAGCGTCTTGAACCTCTTCCCCCCCTTGTGTTGGACCGCCTCAGACCCCCCCAGCCGGGGCCCCCACTCCCGGGGCGCACTCCTCCACGAGCGCCCCCGCCCCCCCACAGCTGACGAGGGGAGGAGGGGGGAGCGAGGAGCAGGGGGGAGGGGACTGTCGCACGGGAGGCGGGAGGAGCAAGGGGGGGGGAAGGGGGAACGAGGAGCAGGGTGGGGAGGAGCAGGGAGGGGAGGAGCAGGGGGGGGGGGGGAGCGAGGAGCAGGCTGGGAACTCGCGCGCACCCGCGGCGGCGGGCGCCTCCCCTACGGTGCGGCAGGCGAGTTCGGGTTTTCTATTCTCCTGCCCGCCCTGGGGGACAGCACGGCCCCGTCCCGCGGGATGTACGCGAAGTGACTCTCCTCCCGGCGGGCGCGCGCGCGGGAACGCGCCCGCTCCTGGGTAAGGTTAGGAGGCAATTCCTGGGAGGTCTTCGCCAAAACGACTAAAGGCAGTTGAGCGAACCATGAAGTGCGAATGCCATAACAATAACTCACACTCTAACAGTCCTACCACCGAATAGAAGGCTTAAACGTTTAGAAAGCTGTGTGTACAAGTTATTCGGACATTGTTCAAATATGAAGCAAGCGTGATATGCATAATTAGTTAAAGCATGCTATATATGTTCAAGCATCTAGACACTGCCGTCTTACATAATATTAAGCCCAGGATTAAACCAGATTGCGCGGGGTCGAAACAGATTACGCGGGAATGGGCCGAACGGGATCTAGCCACATTAAGCCCAGCTTCGACCAGGGATATTCCAGTACCGACACTGAATGAACATCCCGTGAGCTGCATCCGAAGGAAGGGGCCCCAAGGCCCCCCTTCGCGCCGTGAACAGAACAAACGACGGAACATGTGGGTCATCGTCAACCTCTCTGGGCCCGTACCGGGCCCCAGGACCCGCTAAACGATGGCCCAGGGCGAAAAAACATGAAAACCTCTCACCAAGAGGGGGCCCACGTGTCGAAAGCAAAGCATGACGTCGGGGGTCTGTGGGACGCGGGGGGGCCAGGAGAGGAGATGGTGGGTAGAGGAAGGGCATGACGACGCCGACGAGGCAGGTGGGGCGGCGGCGGAGTGAGGAGGCGGATGATGAGGTTGGGGCGACTGGGGAGTCTTGGGAAGCAGGAGCGCTGAATAAGGAACGGGCCTCGGCAGGGTCGGAGGAGAGACCTGGAAACCCAAGCCCCTCCTGAGCCCCAACGTGGTCCTTGTTTCGTCGACTTGGTTGTGGGACGCCTTCAGAAGCAGAGAAGGGGGGAGGATGAGCAGGAGGGAGGAGGATGACGAGGAGGGGGGGACGTTGGCCGCAGAGAGGGGATCGAAAGGGACCAGAGGTCATGCAAAATTCGGCGCAGCTCCTCGGATATGAAGTCTGTTCTACACAAGTGTGGACGATCATTTGTTGGTCTCGATGCTCCCTCTGCCAGACTCTCAGCAATGCCAAGGCACGCGACTGCATCGCTGTCTGCCCTTCCCATCAAAATTAGGAAGGGGGAAGATAGAAAACACATTGATCCGAGCTGTCCGACTCCTGGGCAACGTCCTCGCGCCTCAGCATGCAGCTCCTCCCCCGAAAACGGCGGGGCGAGGCCGCCACGGCACGAAGAGGAGAGGCGCCACCCGCTGCACACACTTTTTGCGTCGGCGGCGAGGCAGGGGTCGTCTGCGCCAGCGGAATGGCCTAAACGGGGGCGCCGTTGAGGCGAAACGTGCCGCCATGCAGGAGGGGGGGGAAAGGCGGAGGACGCGGCCGAAAGGGGGGGGGACGAGGGAGCGAGCCGCTCCGGTGCCACCCGTCTGCCCGCACGCCACGTGGCCACCGGCAAGAGGGGAGGGAGCCTCCGGCCCGCGAAGCAGGAGGGACCGCGTGGCGGAGGCCGCGCTGCCGCGCTGCCGCGCCGAGGCCCGCGGCCTCCCGACAGGCGCGGAGCAGCCGCCGGGGGGGCCGCCTCGAGGCGCAAAAGGGCGCGGGCGGGCGCGGCTGGCCGCGGCCGGGGGCCCGCCGTCCACCTCGGGGATGATGCCCGTGCCCCGTGCGCGCGGCCTGCGGAGGGGGGGGGGGGGGGGGGGGCCTTAAGGGCGAGGAGCCCAGCGTACCGAGGGGTTCGTCAGCCGCGCTAGCCACGGGGCGACCGCGCCTGGTCGACACCGAGGCCGACGAGAGGCGAGGCGGGTCGCGCGGGCGCGGGCCTGGACGAAGCAGCAGCCCAGGTCGGCGTCGATGCCGACGGGGCGGCCAGCGGCCGAGACATAGTTTCAATCAGAGGCTGGCGAGAGGTCGGGAGGACAGATCCAGAGACAGAGAGCGGCGGCGGCGGATGCCACGGCTGGCGGAGGGGGGGGAGGACAGGCGAGACGGCAGAGGGCAACAGCAAGGCAGTCTCGAGCGGAGGAGGGGACGGGGAAGGGATGGGGGCGGTCGAAAAGATATAGCGGCGAGTGCGCCCAGCAGCTGGGATACACGAAATTCGGGAGGGCGGGTCAATCCTGAGACCGTGGGGAAAATTCAGAGAGGCGTGGCCACTCGATGGGTCGAGCGACGGGGTGATTGCGGGAAACAGGGACGACACAGACGCGGAGGGAGGGGGAGCAGGCGGGGGGCAAGCAGAGGCAGGGGCAGAGCTCAACGGAGCGAGGGACGGAGGGAGGGAGGAGATGAAAGATCGCTCTAAGATGGGCGCAGGATGCACGTGCAGGAGAGGCGAGATGACAGGATGAAAAGAGAAAATTGTCTCGACTGGGGGCTCATGGCGGGAAAGCGATCCCGCCGCGGAGCTGGGAGAGGCAGGAGATAGCCTCTGGGGGCACGGAGACGCCGAGGAAGCACAGCAGGAGGCAATCTGCGAGGAGGAAGCCGCCACCCATGGAGCGGTCGGGGCAATCGACGACGTCAGAGTAGCCGAAATCGATGAGCAGAGCGGGCGCGGGGTAGACAAGGCCATAGGCGCCGTTGAGAGAAGGTATCCGTGAAGCGAGCGGCCCACAGCAATCGACACCACAGAGCTGGATGGCAGCGCCTCGCAATTTACTCGAGCCTGGGGCAGTGGGCTCGAGGAGCACCCACGGCCAGGACTTTGCGATCTGACACCAACGGAGGGGAAAGGCCGCGCCTCGCAATTAACTCGAGGAGCCTGGGAAGGCGGGCTCGAGGAGCACCCGCCACCAGGACTTTGCGATCTGACGCCTACAGCACCAAAGACGGGAAGAGACTGAGCCAGCTCGTCGCAATTTACTCCAGATGCCTGCTCAGACGGGTTCGAGGAGCACCCCCTGGCAGGACTTGGCGTTCTGACATCATGCACCTCCGCATCAGGACGGAGGTCGAGCATGACGAGGTCGTCCGAGTCGTCCGCATCCTCCGAGGAGCAGGGAGATGATGATCCAGACGTCGTCGAAAGCGGGGGTATGGTCGCACTGCAGGAAGAGGAGGAGGAGGAGGAACTCGACGACGAAGATGAACTTGAGGAGGAGCTTGCAGGTCGGGGCACACGAGGATGCCAGTGGGGAGCAAGTGAAGCTCGTTCCTCCTCCGACGCCCGGGAGGGGTGCGCGAGACGCATCGCCCTCACTCCCGCCAGAGCGCAGGCGTGGATCTGCTGTGCAGAGAGCGGCCACTCACGGATGGTGCGAGCCTCGTTGTACATGTTGTACGCGGCCGTGAGCAGCGAGAACGAGGAGAACGACGGAGACGCCAGACCCCAGCGAGAAAACCAATCGAGCGGGAAAGGACGTGCCAAGGCCCGTCTGAGAGCACGGTGCATGGGTGGGCATCTCGCATAGTGACGGAGGGAGTCGATTCGCTGCGTGCATCCGAACGCACAAGGTCTCCGGCCCAGCGGGGAGATGATCCTTGCCGAAGTCATCCAGCCGTCACACCAGGTGCGCAGCACGGCCCATGCCCACGAGTACGGACAGCGAGCAAGCATCGCGGCACAGTTGTCCCAGTCGATAGAGTCGAGACGGTCCCTCGCACGCCCAGCAAACTTCATCAGCCGCCGGTGGAAGAGAACCTGAATCGGCTGAGCCGAACACGCAAGCTGGCGAAGAGCAAGGTGTGCAGCACGCTGAGGCCGAGATCGCTGTCCAGGGGCAGGGGAGAGAGCGGCACGAGCAGCAGGGAGCGCGGCAACCAGGAGGGCAGAGAGACCAGAACCTGCCGGAGCACGGCCGAGAGCAGCAGCCTCCAAGTTCTCCGCCAGCGCCGTGGACTTCCAGAAGCCAGGATACAGGCGCCCGTGCGGCAGCATGTCGAGCGTCACGTCGGTGTCCCTCGAGGCGATGTGCTCGCGCATGCGGGACAGAATGGGCTCCCAGCACGGGTAAGTGAGCAGCGCAGCGCGCGTGATGGATGCCACAGCCAAGTGCGCCCAGCATGACCCTGGGCGCCCCCCACCTCTCCAGCTGCACCCACACGTCGAGACCGAAGGTGCCAAGAGGCAGACGAAATACTTGTGCCAGCACTGCAAGCTCGGGTTGAAGGACCGAGCGCGGGATCCAGGAGAACTGTGCAACGTACGAGAGAGTAGTAACAGCAAGAGAATTGTATGACTGGGCGGACTGGCTGGCGGGAGTGGTGCCACGGCCAA